GCTCTGCATCCACACAAGAAGCCCCTCTTTTTTTAAATTTTATTTTTACATTTTGTTTTTTTGTTTTTGTTTTCTTTTTTGAGATGATGTCTCGCTCTTTAGCCCAGGCTGGAGTGAAGCGGCGTGATCTCGGCTCACTGCAGCCTCCACCTCCCAAGTTCAAGCAATTCTCCTGCCTCAGCCTCCCGAGTAGCTGGGATTACATGACCACTCCCCACCACCACCACGCCCGGCTAATTTTTTGTATTTTTACAAAAAATACAAAACATGGTTTCACCATGTTGGCCAGGCTGGTCTCAAACTCCCAACCTCAAATCATTCACCTGCCTTGGCCTCCCAAAGTGCAAAGATTACAGGTGTGAGCCACCGTGACCAGCAAGAGCCCCCTCTTTTAAGAAAGGATTCTCTTGGGACCCAGAGATGAGGTGGCAGGAGGGGGCTGCTCTGTGGTGACGAATCAGCTCTGTATTGGATGTGGCAGTGATTACATGAATCTACACCTGAGCTAAAGACACACATAAGCCCATGCGCACACACGTGCAAAGAAAAGTGTGTGAAAAGTGAGTGTGCAGCGTGGTCTGTAGTCTCGTTAATAGTTTGGTTCCTGTGTGGCTTTGCTGGTTTCCATTCTGGACTAAGTTACACAAGGTATCGCCATGGCGGGAGGGCAGGTGAGGGAGATGCCCCCCCGCACTGCGTGTGTAACCTCTAGGGAGTCTATAATTATCACAAAGGAAAATATTAAAAATAAAACAGAATTTCCTAGTAAACACAAGGTCTCCCTCTTCCTAAACAGTCCACTCTGCCTAAGCAGAAGGCCTTGGTGAACCCACAGGAGCCCAGGGATGGCTCCTTCATGCCACCCCACCCCAGGGTTCCAAGGGTGTTCTTTATTGCCTGTAATCCTAGCACTTTGGGAGGTTGAGGCAGGTGGATCATCTGAGGTCAGGAGTTCGAGACCAGCCTGGCCAGGTTTCTTTTTTATTTTCTTTTTTTAATAGGGTCTCGCTGTGTTGCCCAGGCTGGAGTGCAGTGGCGCAATCACAGCTCACTGAAGCCTTGAATTCCTCGGCTCAAGCAATCCTCCCACCTCAGCCTCCTGAGTGGCTGGGACTACGTGCCGGCTACCACAGCCAGTTAATTTTTGTATTTTTGTATTTTTTTTTTTTTTTTGAGACGGAGTTTCACTCATGTTACCCAGGCTGGAGTGCAATGGCGCGATCTCGGCTCACCACAACCTCCGCCTCCTGGGTTCAGGCAATTCTCCTGCCTCAGCCTCCTGAGTAGCTGGGATTACAGGCACGCACCACCATGCCCAGCTAATTTTTTGTAGTTTTAGTAGAGACGGGGTTTCACCATGTTGACCAGGATGGTCTCGATCTCTTGACCTCGTGATCCACCCGCCTCGGCCTCCCAAAGTGCTGGGATTACAGGCTTGAGCCACCGCGCCCGGCCAATTTTTGTATTTTTTTGTAGAGACGGGGGTCTCATGATGTAGCCCAGGTTGGTCTCCAACTCCAGGGTTCAAGCGATTTGTCTGTCTTGGCCTCCCCAAGTGCTGGGATTATAGGCTTGAGCCACTGTGTCCAGACAGAATTTTTTTTTTAAAATGAGGCAGTGGTGGAGGGTGGGTCAGATACCTCTGGAAGGAAGACAGGTGACGGGTGATTTTGGAGAGAAAGGTTCTTGGTGGTGTGGTAGGGGTGGAAGCTGGGTGGAGAGCAGGCCGCAGGTGCAGAGAGCTCTTCGCTGTGAGATAAGGGAAGGATGCTTGACATGGCTGTTGATGAGTCCGGATGACACTCGGAACAAAGACAATCACGCACATGTATTCCGTGCTCAGCACAGCCAGGCACTGTGATGAAATCTTTCATTTTCCTTTTCTTCTTTATATGGAGTCTCACTCTGACACCCAGGCTGGAGTGCAGTGGCGCGATCTCGGCTCACTGTAACCTCCGCCCCTCAGGTTCAAGTGATTCTCCTGTCTCAGCCTCCCGAGTAGCTGGGACTACAGGCACGCGTCACCACGCCCCACTAATTTTTGTGTTTTTAGTAGAGACGGGGTTTCACCATGTTGGCCAAGCGGCTGGTTTCCAACTCCTGACTTCAGGTGATCCACCCGCCTCGGCCTCCCAAAGTGCTAGGAATCCAGATGTGGGCTACCACGCCTGTCAGATGAGCCCCTTTTTAAAATGTTTAAACTTTAGGGAAACGTAAACTTTTTATTGTTGTAAAATAAACGTAGCATAGAATCCACCATTGAACCGTTTTTAGGTGCAGTTCAGTGGGATTAAGCGCATTCACATTGTTGTGTAGCCATCACTCCCCTCTAACTCCCCCAGGTGTTTTCATATCCCTAAATTCTGTACCCACTAAATGATAACTCCCTGCTTCTCCCTCCCCCAGCCCCTGGCAACAATTCTACTTTCTATGTCTATGAATTTGACTATTCTAGGTACCTTGCATAATAGGAATCAGATTTTTTTTTTTTTTTTTTTAAGAGATAGGTCTTACTCAGTCACCCAGGCTGGAGTGCAGTGGTACAGTCACAGATCACTGCAGCCACAACCTCCTGGGCTCAAGCGATCCTCCCCCTTCAGACTCCTGAGTAGTTGGGACTACAGGTGTGCACCACCATGCCCAGCTAGTTAAAAAAATTTTTTTTTTTTTAGAGATGGGCTCTCACTATGCTGCCCAGGCTGGTCTTGAACTCCTGGCTCAAGTGATCCTCCTCCCACCTCAGCCTCTCAATGTGTTGAGACTACAGGTGTGAGCCACTGCACCTGGCCAAAAGGAATCATATACATATTTGTCCTCTTGTGAGGGGTGTATTTTACTTAACCCAGTGTTCTCAGCAGTCATCCACATTGTAGCATGTGCCAGAATTTCTTTCCTTTCTTAAGGCTGAATGTTATTCCACTGTGTGTATAGACCGCATTCTGATTAACCAGCCATTCTTTATCTGGGGTAGCGCCTTCCCTCTTTCTTTTCCTCCCTCTTTCCTTCATCCCTCCATCTTCTCTCACCTGCCTTCCTTTTCTCTCCCCACTCTCTTTTAAGCAAATATTTATCAAGCACCTATTATGTACACCCTCATAGTTCTAGGGTCTACAGCCATGAACACAATAGATACCCCTTCCAAAAAAATCCCTGCCCTACTGATGTTTATATTCTGGAGGAAAAAGAAAGTAAATCAACACAATATATGACATTACGAGTTATGAGGGTCTATGAAAAGGTGGCAGCAAGGGCCTCCCTGCAATGGAAGGGGGTCTGTAGGTCTCGGAACTGCAAGAGGGCCAGTGGGGGGTTGAGTGGGCAAGGAAAGAACAGACAATGAGGGCAGTGAGGTCATAGAAAGTCTGGCCTTCTCGAGAGAGGCAGTATCTTGTTCCCATTTTACAGAGAGGGAAACTGAGGCCGAGACAGGAGGTGGCTTGTCCAAGGTCCCACAGCTGGTAGGTGCAGGAGGCAGCAGAGAGACTCCAGGAGTGTCAAAACCTGCGCTCCACACTCTTAACTCTTCTTTCTGCTGTCTCCCAAGGCCACTGTCAAGTTCATTTGCACACTGATGTGTGTGTCCAACACGATTTGAACACATTTCATGTGTTCAAATGAATGAACTCACTGACACCTTCCCCTGGCCATGGGAGAGCTCGTGAGTACCTCCAGTATTGTTAACTCCCCTCATTGTACAGATGGAGGAAGCCAGGATGGAGATGCTCAGCCACTCACCAAGGTTACACAACGCTGAAGGGGGATGCCATGATTTGAGCCCAGGTGGAGAGCTCTTAACCACCTCACGAGATGTTCAAGAACAAAGGAGTGGATGGTGCAACCAGCAGCGTGGTGGGATCGGCCCCAGACATGGGGAAAGACGCCTCTTCCATTGTTTCAGGAAGGAAGGAGGAAAGGGCAGGTCAGGTGTAGGTAGGGTGTGGGTCCGATGGCAGGAAGTCGAGGCTGGTCGGTCCTGTGGTTTCTGTTTCTTCCAGGGAACAGGAAGAAATCTCAAGGGGCCTTGGCGGATGGGGTTGGGAAGGCTGAGGGTGGCGGCGAAGGGGCCCAGGTGACATTGAGGATCGTGTGTTTCAAAGGGTACCCTCTCAGTGGGTGGTGGATTTTTTTTCCTCTAACTTTCTAGATGTAGACAAAGAAAAGGTACCTGCAGGACAGGGGGACGGCGGGAGGAATGCTGGGACTGGGGAGCGGAGGGTTGCCAGGGCAGAGGGGACTCTGGGGCTGGTCTTGAACTCCTGGGCTCGAGTGATCCTCCTCCCACCTTGACCTCTCAGAGTGCTGGGATTGCAGGTGTGAGCCACTGTGCCCGGCCAAAAGGCATCTTGTTATTTTTGTCCTCTTGTGACTGGCTTATTTCACTCAACCTAATGTCCTCAGTAGGTGGAGACAAGGGGGCTTGCTGGGTGGGAGGCTGCCTGAGGAGGGTCAGGCGTCTTTGAGGTGGAAGAACAGGTATGACGCAGACAGCCGTGGCGCTGAGGCACGGGAGGCTGTGGTCAGGGAGTGGGACGTGGGATTTTGTGGTTTCAGAGGTGGAGCCCTTCTGGATGGAGATGGAGGCTGGGTGTGACCGTGGGAACGGATGGCGGGGGAGGTGGTCTCTGGCCACGTGGAGGTAGCGAGATTCAGAAACTGGGGCTCCTCTCTCGAGAAGCTTCCCACTCCTGTGTCAGCCCATGCCTGTCTCCGTGTCCACTTATAGCAGCAATCGGGCAGGTCACCAAGGGCTTCACATACATCCTCACACTGAATCCTCATGAAAGCCCTGTGGGGCGAGGGACTCTCATTGGTACCATGTTATAGATGAAGAAAGCAAGCCTTAAGATAAGTAACTTGGGCAAGTGGCAGAGCCAGGCCTCGAACCCAGATCATTTGGCTGTTAAACACTACGCCACTCTGTCTGCAAATCTGTTTCCATGTCAGCAAGGGCGGAGAATTCTGTTTGCCTCGTTCCTTGATGGGTCCCCAGCTCCTAGAACAGCCTGGTGTGAGTGTGCACACAGTGAGTGCTTGTGGGATGAGCGGACGGACCCCCACCTCTGTCTTCCCTCAGGTCCTGGAAGGGCTGGGATTTGAACCTCAGCCAGCATGACTTGATGCCTCCCTGCTTCTGATCTCATGTGTGTCACTGATTATCCAAACTCTCTTCGGGTAACCCTCACAGGTGCCTCTTCAAATGCACCAGCTCCGATTCAGTTAGCTTGGCGGCAGCTCTCAGACGTCTCTCAGATGTTTCCGAGCCAGCACTGAAAAGTGCTTTGCGCCAGGCAGCCTCTGTGTGCAAACCTGGGGGCCCCTGATGCTCGGCTGATGGACAGTGAACATTCCTGCCCCCATCCCACTTCTATTCCCTCCCATTTATTTCTGTTTAAGCTCCACGGTGTGCCCCAGCCTTCCCCGTGTCTCCTCTAAGTTGGCATCCTCTCCCTAGGTGCTTGGGTCAAAGCTGGGAGCGTCTTTGATTCCTCCCTCGCTCTCACCTCCCATGTTGGCAGCTCCTGTCACTCAGCTCCAAAATACACAAAAAAGAATCCACCCGCTAGTCCCCTCTCAGTCACCCTCTTCCAGGTCACCCTTATCCCTCACCTGCACAGATGCAGCAGCATCCTAACTGGTCTTGCTGCTTCCAGCCTCGACCCCCAACCCCTCCTGCCCTCGCCATGCTAAGTCCATTCTCTACTCTGCAGCCAACGTCTTCTTCAAACAGCATCGTGTTAAAACCTGCTTAAAACCCATCTGTGAGTCCCCACTGCAATTATAATAAAACCCAGATGCCTCCAGGGCACTCGGTGTCTGGCTTCTGTCCATCCTTCCAACCTCAGCACCCCATTGTGTACTGTGCCTCTGCCCCCTTGAGCTTCTTCCATTTTCTCGACATGGGAGGTGCCTTCCCACCTAGAGACTGGCGTTTGCTGTTCTTTCTGCCTGGGACACGCTTCCCACCACTCTGCCTGCGATCTTGCTTCAGATCTCAGCTTAAACGTCATCTCCTGACCACCTTCTCTAGAGCTGACCTTCCCTTCCAGTTTCAATCTCAGCTCCTCTGTGGGTTTCCTTCCTCCACCTTATTTTAATCTATAATTGCTTTATGTGTTTGCTCCCTTGTTTATTATTAGGGCTGGTTTTTTTCCTCTCTGTGGTGTTTATCACTGTTGGATGTCTCTCATCTTTTATTTATTTACTTTCTTACTCTTACGTCTTGTCTCATCTGTCTCCCACAACTTGAGTGTGAATGCTGACAGTGCAGGGATTTTCACCGGCTTTATCTGCCCCTGTGCCCTGGCACACAGGAGGTGCTCAGTAAACCTCTGTGGAAAGAAGAGATGTCTCTCACTAGAACTGAGGCTTCGCGGGGGCAGGGACCTTGTTTATCTTGTTGCTGAAGGAGGAAGATTATCTCAGAGCCTGCTCAGAATCTCTGCTTTTCTCTAGAATCTCTGCACTCAATGTCTCCACCTCCTCAGACCTGACAGCGCTCTCCAATTACCCAGCCCTGGGAGAGCGCACAGGTGGAAGAGGGGGAAGCCAGTCTTTCTGAGACTGGACTCCAAATCCCTGTGGGATGCTTCTGACCTGATGGGATGGGACACTGGCGTTTCACAGCTCCACTGCCACCCGTAGCTGTGTTTATGTAGGGGCTGTGTTTACTGAGGCTTTAGGCCACAGCAAAAGTCCCTTTGTTCCCGTGGAGACTAAGGCCTCCTGTTTATCTAAAGGACCATCTGTGTTCACTTGGGCCTCCGGCCTCAGCACCTCCCTGCCCTGGGCCTTCATATTTACTAAGCCCTACTCCTTCAGCAAAAGGATCTCCCGCCTTTACCATGGCCACCTGCATATGTGGCGAACATCTTTATTTTTGTTTTATTTTCTTTTTGAGACAGAGTCTTGCTCTGCTGCCCAGGCTGGAGTGCAATGGTGTGATCTCTGCTCACCACAACCTCTGCCTCCTAGGTTCGAGCGATTATCCTGCCTCAGTCTCCAGAGTAGCTGGGATTACAGGTGCGCACCACCACACCTGGCTAATTTTTCGTATTTTTAATAGAGACAGGGTTTCACCATGTTGGCCAGGCTGGTCTCAAACTCCTGACCTCGTGACCTGCCCGCCTCAGCCTCCCAAAGTGCTGGGATTAGAGGCGTGAGCCAGTGTGCCAGGCCTACATCTTTATTTTTGTTCAGTCTGCTTGCGAGAAACTTGTCTTGGATTTACACTGCCTTTGAGTAAATGCAGGGCTCTTCACTTTTAGGAAACACACCCTCAGCTTTGAGTAGCGTTCCCAGGTCTCGGTGAAAACGTCTTAAATAGCCCTCACGTCTGTTCTCGCCATCCTGACACCCTTGCCATGGCCCCAGTTTTGGCTGCCAGATCCATTCCGGACCTCTGTCCCAGCCTCTCCCTGGGCTCCTGGCTCAGAATCCTCCTACTCCAGTCTTTCCTGGACAGGGCCCTAGAGGCCTCCTTCTGAGACCCAGAGCTGCCCCTGTCGGCTCTAACCCTCCCTAGCACCCCATCACCGCCAGAAGAATTCCAGTGCTTTATGGAGGGCGGGCCACCCCTCCACCATCCTGCACAAGGAGGAGCGGCAAAGCTCGCAGGGACTCAGGGGCTCCTGAGCCTGCAGGCCTCTGTGCCTGCCGTTCTCTCTGCCTCGCACATTTGTCCCCATCACACCCTTTCCTGTGCTCATTCTTACTCATCTCCAGCTTCCGGTTTAAACATTACCTCCTTCAGGAAGCATTCCATGACGCAGCGTGCTGACTTAGAAGCCTCACCTCGGGCCTCCCCTGTGTCCCTCCTAAGCCCCACGGTGGCACGTATCCCTCCAGGTCTTGACTTGCCAGTGTCCCTGCCCACCTCTGCCGTCAGACAGGGAGCCCATTGAGGGCAGGGACCGGGTCTGACTCAGCCGCATTGCCGCACCGCCCTGCGCAGGGCCGCCAGCTCCAAGGAGGTGTCAGGAACTGTTTGCTGCATGAATAAAGGGGTGATCAGTATCCCTCCTTTGCTCAAATATCCTCCATGGCTTCTGCAGTGCTCAGAACCAAAGACAAGCCGAAGTCGCCTCTCCCTCTCACCTCTCCTCCACTTGCTCCCTCTGCTTTCTCCCTCAGTCTCAGAGTTTGCACTGCTGTTTCCTGCCAGGAGCACTTTCCCCTGTTCCCCCCCCGCCCCACCCCACCCTGTGCGCTCTGCCTCACCCTGCACCTTTCCCAGGGGATCTCCTCCTTGAAGGCTTCCCTGTCTCTCCTACTACATATATGCCATTAGCACCATCTGACACTATACAATTGACTTATTTTTCTGGGTTTTTTTGTTTGTTGTCTCTCTCGAGGGCGAGGTTTTGTTCCGTCCACCGCCGTCACCCATCATGTGCTCAAAAATTATTTGTTGAGTGGCTGAATGAACACAAGGGCCTCGAGGTCAAGGAGTGTCCCGTGTGTATACAGGGCCTTAAGATCTCTGCCGACCTGTGTCTCTCACCCTTGAGGAATGGCTCAGAGACCAGCGGGTAGGTGGGCGGAGAGAGCTGAGCTCCCGGTCTGAGCCTGGGAAGGGGAGACCTGGTTTTGCTGTCAATGACAACCTGATGCACAGGTGAGGTCACAGCGACCACTTGTGTCCAGAGCTGAAAAGAGCACCTTCCCCCAGGATTCTTGTTTTGTTTTGTTGAGATGGAGGCTGGCTCTGTCGCCCAGGCTGGAGTGCAGTGGCCAGATCTTGAGATCTCAGCTCACTGCAACCTCCGCTTCCCAGGTTCAAGCCTCAGCCTCCTGGGTAGCTGGGATTACAGGCACCTGCCACCCTACTTGACTAATTTTTGTATTTTTAGTAGAGATGGGGTTCTGTCTCAAACTCCTGACCTCAAGTGATCTGCCTGCCTTGGCCTCCCAAAGTGCTGGGATTTCAGGTGTGAGCCACTGCGCCTGGCACCCCCAGCTCTTCAGAGGCCCCCATGAGGAAGGCTGCAAGCCCAGGCTAAGAGGAATGGCAAGCACTCACTCAATGCCCGGCGCTCTTCTAGGCACTGATACATATTTATTAACAATAATCACCAGGTGGAAGTCCCATTCCTCCCCACACTGTACAGCCGAGGAGCCTGCTCAAGATCACACAGCTTGGTTCCAACCCTCGGGCAGTCTGGGTCTAGGAAGCACAACTGCAAATCTGCACGGTCCAGTAGAGTGCCTGCGGGTCCCAAGGGGCGGCTGAAGTGTGGGGAGTCTGGATTGAGATGGGCTGGAAGTATAACACACACATTGAAATTTGAAAACTTTATATGAAAAAAAAAACATGTACAAAATATCTGGCTTAAGTTTTAACATACTGATTACATATTAAAATGCTAATATTTTGTATAAGTGGGTCAAATACATTTATTAAAATGTCACTTGTGTCCCTTCTCTAGGAGAAAATGTTAAATTATACATACAGTTTGCATTTTCTATTGCAGAGTGCCTTAAACCACAAAAGAAATCCAACCACTGGCCACTCCCCCAAGCAGAGGGAGAAACTCCAATAAACAGAAGGGGAAAGGTCCTTTGCCCAAAGCCACATGGTAAATCACTGGCACAATAGCAATAGGAACCTAGGTCTCTGGCTTCCAACAGGCAGTGGAACCAGCAAAAGGGTCAAGAGCCCTTTCTTTGCAGCCCCTTTCCTGATTGGCTGCAGCGTGGCCCCGGAAACTTACTTTACCTCTCTGGGCTGCAAGTTTATCCTTCATAAAATTGGTGCTGAAGGAACCAACCCAAATGCTCATTGATCAACATGTGAATAAAGAAACTATGATATATATAAAAACTGTGATATATAGATATAGTGTGTCTATATATTATATATATATGTATATATATAAAGACA